TTGACCTCAGGGCAACGTGTTGTTTCAAATTATCCTGCCTCAAGAAATGTTATCCTAACTCTAACTACAGAAGACGTGTGAAAAACGTTACAGACGTTGAAATAATTTGATATCGAATTGCTGCTCTTAGTAGATATTCATTTTGTAAAAAACTTGAAATAATAATTGAATTGATAAATTAATCAAAAATCTAAATAAATGAATACTTAAAGCTTATTATCTATTCTTATCATTGGACCAATTTCTGATTCTATTTATGTTTCTGTTTCTATTTCTGCCCTGAAATGGAATTTTAGTTCAGCCCAATTTTTCGAACAATAAAATTTCTTAATGTCATGCAAAAATGTCTTAAGTTTTTATAAAAAATATTTTACAAATACTTTCGCATTCACAATGAAAAAAAGCAATAGAAATTGGCAATTATTTTAATAGTTTAATTAGTATGTTGAATTTTTATGAACAGAATATTACAAGTTTATTATATAGTATTCATTAATAATTCAACTTTTACCATTGTTATTGTTTCTGCTGTAAACTATTTTTTTTCAGTGATCTGAATTCATAACAAATCAATTTCCAATACTTTGTTAATGCAAATAATTACGTCAATACAAATTAATGCAATTAGTGCTAAATATTACATATTAATTATACGCGCATTGTTTTCTTGACTTCACTGCACCAATACTGGCGTTAATACAATTACTACGTGCAGATTCTTTCGATTCATATTTTTTAAACCACTAGCAAGAATGTCTGCTTCAACTTTAATTTTTCGATCATTTTTTCAAAAGGTATGATGACGTTAGTACCGTAATTAATTAATTAATTAATTAATTAATTAATAATTACTGATTATTATCAAGTGCATTATCTATGTATATCTATGTATATTAGCTTAGTTATCTGTTCAATTCTGCATTACAAATTACGGTGAAAAGTTCATACCAAAAATGAAAGTACCTCTCGAAATTGGAATTAATTCACGACGATCACTTTATAAATTTCTCCAAGTAATAATTTCTCAGAAATTCATAATGATCTTATTAGTAATAGCAGCTTAATAAAGACATGCTATTGTCTTATTTGTATGACCTGAAGTAATTCAAAGCTAAAATTATTCGAATATCAAAACACAAACGCTCAATTGATATTCATTTCAAAAGTCGGATCACAATTAATCGACAAAAATCTTTTAATTATGTGGATCAATATTCAAATCACGAAAATTTTCAACAAATTTCTTTGAGTTCTTGGAATCACACATATTTTGCATCAGTATGATAAAATCAGCTCATTTCAACGGCCATTACACAAATTCTGAATGTACTGAAATTTATAAATATGTAAATAAATCAACTGAAAATAAGAAATCATTGAATTTGTCGGGGTGAATGCATGTAAATTATTCAAATTATTCAAATATCTGATCATCTTCATGCAAATTTAAAGATGAAATTGTTAATTTTTCATTTTGATTGTTATTGTTACACACACAGCTTAATGGTTGGCTGTCCGAAGAAGTAAGTGTAATTATTCCTGTAAAAAATTTGCTTCATATCTTGACAGTTCTAGTTTTCTGATTAATTTTCAGCTATTTCTGAAGCATCGTGCAAGTTTTTGATAGTATGGCTAAGTCTAAGGCTTAAATTAATCAAATATTGAAAAATAATGATCTATTAAAAAGAATACTAACAAAAATAAGAAATTCGAACTTTTTAAGGTCCAAATTATAAAATGACTTATAAATCAGACTGATTAGATCAAAAATACTGTTTAGTATAAATATCAAAAAACACCAAGAATAATCTTTTATAACTAATATTAATATTTTGTTTTGACATATTTGAGTAGTATTTTTGATTATTATTTTTGTTTGTATTCTTTTTAATAGATCACTTTATTTTGGTATATTAATTTTTGCATGTTTTTTAATAAAAAATTATTTTGCATAAATAATTTTTAGAAAGAGGTACGATTATTATTATCCATTTGATGGTACAAAATTTCTACTGATTATAAATGAATTAATTCTTGCATGCATACTTTATGACTTACTTAACCCTGAAGCAATTTGTTGGCAGGAATTTATGCCTTATACTAACCAAACCATATATGATCGGAATCAACAAATTTTTCCACATTTTGATGTGGCAAATACGCAATTGTAAGCTAATTTTTTAATTTAACTTAAGTTTTCTAATCAAAATGTTTTCAGAAAGTTTAGTGATAAATAATTTCAAAAATCAACAATAAGACTTTTTGAAATTGCAACGTTTTTTATTCAAAATTTTGGGCAAATTCTGATTGTTTTCTCTAAATTTCGATTTTATTCGGTCATTCATTTGATTTCAGACACAAATTGCATCGGCAGTTGGAAACTTGCATAGATATACGTATAGATACATTAATGAATAAAGAAATTAAAACAGACAGCTTGAGTAACTTGAAGTTTCCATTCCAAAATCAGGCAAGTGCTCATTTCTGCTTTATAAAACTTCTAAATCAAAGTTGCAAAGTATTAATCTCACATTTGGATGCACACATCGAATGTCACGTAACGTGTGTCTTCAGATGCCATTTAATTTAACATTAAGTAACATTATTAGACATATATGGTTGGGATTTTATTTTGGCATAATCTGTGTCTGTTTCATTTCTTAGTACATTATAAAAAAATAAAATAAAATGTGAAGGTTAGTTTTCATTTTCGTTGTATTGGTTCTGCGCTGTATCGCATTCGCGCACTCGGGCAGTACTTGTCCCTGCTCAGATTTGTTGTACTCGTCGTTCTCGTGGATGCCGTAATCTCTCTTAGCTGTTTCTTGATGTGATTTGCTCCATGTGACATAATATCAAGCACGAAAACATATATCTCCATAAACTTTTCTTCGTTTTTCGAACTTTAATTTTGAATTTTGAGATAATTTTCAGATCATCACAGGAATATTCCAAGGATTGCTAGCAGTAATATCCAATACTTGCCATATTTGGCTTGTTTGCTATGTAAAATCTCCAACCACTATGACATTTAATATTCTGGCATTTCCAGTCTTAAATATTGCCGGTAATTTTTTTTTGAAAACAATGTAGCCATGTCTACACAAATGGTAGATGCAGAAATAATTCAATGTTCATTTAAACTCTTAAGTTGGAATTTTTCTAATTTGAGAATAAGTCCGAAATTAAAAATCTTAGTCTAGTCCTAAAAACTTTAAACTAATATACAACTGTGTATGAGACTAGCACTTGAATGTGTTTTAATAAGTTATTCCAACATTTTAAGTTATATTTCATTGCTTAGTGTTATGTGAATTAAAGCCATTTGCATTTATTTTTGATCTATAATGTGAATTGAAAATTAGCACAAAAGTTGGATTACCATTAATTTGATCTTCGAAATAAGTAACCTTCGAAATGATTGAATTATTCAGCTCTTAGTTCTTTATTTTGGATTTTAATATCAATATTTTATCACTGGCCTGAACTGTGGTATCAGAAGAGTGGACCCTTAAAAGCACCCACACTGCCATATGATGAGATATGGGTATACTGTGCAACTTTATATACTTTTTAAATTCTACTAACAATTAATTTCAAAATATTTGACTGAATTCATTTTGTCCAAAAAAAGATGAATAATTCCATTTAAACACAATGTATTACTGACATCCAGCGCTTTTTATTATCAGAACTTAAATACATTATTTAAGAACTTAAATATATTACAGAAATTTGATACGGTCATAATAAATATCATTTGCAGAAACGCTCTCCTCTCGATTATTTGTTTTTCAATATTTAGGATAGAAAAATAAAGTTACCAAATCCAAAACAAAATTAATGATAATGAAGGTAATACTAAACTGGATCGTTTAGGTTTTAACGTGGATTACAATTGCTATTATCATTAACTGGTTGTTAATTTATACTCTGTACTACGCATTCAGAACGAATAAAATTGGCGTAGCAAAGATTATGTCTTCAAAAAGACATGAAAAATCATTATAATCAAATCGTGCAAACAACCATTATTGTTTCAAATTTTAAATTTTAAATTCGCAGTAAGGCTATTTTGAATTCTTGTTTTTATGTATTGTTATAAACTTTTTATATTTTGATAAATTCAATTTAAAATGCATTGTGTACAAACAAATCAAGCAAAAGGGACAGATTTGCCAAATTATCATTTCGGATATAAATCTGCATTTTTTTTGATTCACTGAAAGAAAATTTGCATAATGACAGCCAACTTTTGAAAAATCTGTGAGGTATAAGTTGAACACAGTTAAAAAACAGAAAAAAGCAAAAATTTTTGATGAGCAATTGACTTTGGTCAACGTTAATAAGTTTCTGAAGTTTTCTTCGATATCACTAATTGGATTTGTTCTATTTTATACATTTTATAAGTCATCTCATATTCAAAAATTAAATTAAGTTAAATAAGAGTATAATTGAAGCATACAGCTATACGGTTTGAAAAGTTCATAAGACCTGATTGATACGACTAGACAAAAATGTGGAGGGACTTGATAAATTATACTGCAAAAAATAGAAGGGTTACTGTACATATTTAAAATCGTTTGATATAAGAAATTAAATTTTATAAGAATGATTTTGCATGATTTGTTTTTGAAATTTTTACTCAGGGCATCAAGGATAGATTTCAAATGCCTGAAATACTCGAAATATAGACAAAACACTCAATAAGTAATCGAAAAAATTCATGAATATTTGAGAATTTGCATTGATAACAAATCTGAGATAGATAAAGATTGGATCGAAAAATCGATAATAATTTTTTCACTTTTTTCTACAGCTTTGAAATTATGAAGTAAATATTGAGAGTTATTCATATGGCTTGATTGATTGATTGATTCGCTTAATAATTTAATTCGACAAATTAGTGGAATGATTTGATAAATAACGCATCAAAATATAAACTAATTTGGGTTTATAAGGTACAGGATGAAAAAAGAATCAGGTCAATGAATCAAACACTACGAAATAGGACTGAAACTAGCAATTATTATATAGTAAATAAAAAGCAAAACAATTTTATCAATAGGTGCAGAAGCAATGAATGCTTCTGATGCTGATGCTGATGCTGATGCACCGAAAAAATGTCGTTCAGCACCTGGATAACAGTATCTACGACTTTTGCAGATACATTCTTGTATATCTAATTGATCGTGCAATCTAAAATCAAATCATTTGACCTGGAAGACAGTTCATCCAACCCGTTTTTATACTATCTTCTTCAAAACCATGTGAACTACTAAAGAGTGAATACAGTGACGACAGCGTGAAGGTGATAATATTTCACTGTTTCTTACATCTTCTAAGGTCTAAATTGTTTAGATCTGACTTTATTCGAAATGGACTGAATTGTTCACATGTTATAACTTATCCTCTCAATTTCAGTTGTGACCTGATCTAATTTGAGGTCTTGTTGGACAGTCAAATCGGCACAATTTGATTAGGACAGAATTCAAAATTTAATGAACATACCGAATTTTCTACTTATTTTTATATGAACCAAAAATTTTTCAGCACTTATATGTAAATCTCGCAATATTTGGCTATTAACAACAATACTAATCTTTTTATATCTTTAGACAAAATTTTCCTACAAGATCCCCTCTTAAAAATAACTAAAAGCATACTCTGAAAAATGAAGATGAATACTATCAGCACGAATTATTGATTAAAAATGTGGATTCCGATCACAATACAGTAAAGTCCAAACGGTATATTCATATAATTTCTGATAAAACCTTTAATTACTAGTAAGAGCGTACCTCAAACAAGTGTTATCCCCTCGGGATTTAAGTAAATCTTCATTTATTCCTCCAAATGTTTCCGCACAACCGCGTATAGCAAATGCAGCACCTGTCAAAATGTTATACACATTTTTGTTTTTCCATTTTATTATGAATCTTACAGCACTAATGAAGAAAAACTATTTTTGAAATAAGAAAAAAAATCCACCTGTGACCTTAGGTTGCAATCTGAGAGACGTATAGCGAGTATAAATGTGAATGCATTTTTAACTTTAAATTTGGAATTACTAAGAAAGAATAACCTTGTGCAGAGGTCATGAAAAAATTTTTAACTGTTTTCTAAATAAGAAGAAATACTAATTTTCGTTTTCCTACCAAAATACTAAACTGACTACTGTTTTTTCAATTTCCAAAAATGATAAAACCTGTGCCATGGTCCGTCAGAATAAGTGTTTGACAATATGGATGACGACAACGTTCTACTGCTAAATCAGTCAGATTACGCGGCTCGGAACAGCGGGGATTTCTCACGTTTGCTGGATAAGCTGTACGACGGATTTGTAATAACTTTTCGATTGCACGACGCATACCTCCACTAACTGTGCTTAGTGGACTGGCGCAGTGATAGCACCAATGGTCCTCAACTGCAAAAATTTTCAGTCCTTTGTTTTTTTGCACTGACAATATCTTAAACTGGATAAAAATTTCCTTGGTAACAACTTTTCCCTGTTGTAATAAGTCTTTGGGATTATTTGAATTTGGATTTGAATTTGAATTTTTCACCCAATCATTGCTTTCTCCAAATTATCACTTCAGTGGATTTCCCTCATTTTTTATACACATTTTTGTATAATTAAACGAAAATTAAGAAAAATTAAATTCGAATGAAAAAAGTTTATCATGGAATTTAGATTACTGGCTGATAAGTAGAAGTTAATAGTGAAATAAAATACATTCGTGCTGAAATGCTGTCATAAACAGTTTCATGTCAAAACAATTTTTCACACTGCCATTAATTGGATAACTAATTAATTAATTAATTATTGGCCAAATAGTCTTACCACCGCACTTATTACAATTTACTGAATCAGTAACTGATTAATCACATTATCTGATTCTTGTTGGCTTTAGATTGATAATAATACTTTTATCTTATTAATTTTGTACTTGGAAAAATCATGAAGTTCAAAATTTTCCTTGGTGTCTTTCAACACAAGCAATAACTTTAGCAACCAATGTAGCTATAAAAAATCAACAAATTAAAGTGATTTCCAAATAAAACTACACGAAACTATAGAAAAAGTGCATAAAATATTACAAAAAAATAAATAAATAAAAAAACTAAACAAAACCATCAAAAAAAAAGAAATTGTAATTTTGTTATGGAAAGTAAAACAAAGAAAAAATTACAAAACATTTCCAAAACTGGTCGTTCTTTACAACAAAAGTGCTTTGAAAGAATAAATTTCAGAAAAGTTTAAAAAAATTATCAGTGGAAATTAATCACTTTGTTTCTGATTAAAAAAATGAATAAATTTGCCGAAAATTAAACAAAACTATCAGTAACAATTTTTGTGTTAGTAAAAGAAATCAGCATATCAAATAATTAAATTGTGAGAGATTAACCTTTATTTTTGGATGCGATATTAGGTGAAAAGGTCATTTTAGTGGCTGATAAAGTTCGTTTGTTAAGCGGATAAGACTCAGTGATTGGATTGTGATAATAACTCTGTTGCTGCGCATTATCATATAGTTTAGCTGAAGCAGACTGACTTCGTTGTTCCATTTCATATTCCATTTCTTCCGCCTCCATTAACTTTAATTTTTTCAAACTTTAGGTGTTTTTTAAAATATCAAATCATTCTTAATATTACTGATAAAGTGATAATTTTTCTGACATTTTAGCTGCTTATCTTTGACATTTTTAGACTTTTAGCTGCTTATCTTTGACATTTTTAGACTTATAAATAATAAATACTCAAACAAAATGTTTACTTTGTAAATAAATATTTAATTTTCTGTTTCAAAATGCGTCATAGATTGAAAAGCTATCAATTAAAAAAACTGATAGGAATGGTTGGAATTCAGCTTTTCTATAACAGTTTATGCCTTTTTGAACCTAAACAAAAATTAGTTGTTTAATTTTGCGCAAAAAAAAATTAGAAAAAGGCCAAATACACTGGCACAATGCATTGTCGTCAAAACTTTAATACATTCAAAAAATTATTGAAAAATAAAATATAGAGGGATTAACAGTTATACGAAAAATGCATGGTGAAAGTCAAAATTATAAAATCGGATATTTTCAATTCTTGTATGAATATTCTAAACACATTGAATACAACTCACAGAAAATATTTCGGGAATTATTTTTTTGAATGTGGTAGATTAAGAAGTTAGCTAGTTGTAAATCAAAAATCGTACTGAAAAGTGAGTGGTAAATCAAATTTTTTAGAAACCATATTCAGGTAAAATATTCAAACTGAACATTCAAGAGTACATTTTTAAATACAATCTCGAATGTTGTTAAGCATAATCTTAAATATCCTTTTGAATATCTATTTTGAATATCTTTCCTTTTGAATCTTAATCTCTTTTACCAACCACAATCTTTTTTAAAAAAATAAGCGAATAATTTTATTAACAGTAAAATTTTTAGACTTAAAAATATTACTCTCAGTAATAATGAAATTTTTAGAATTTGATAATAAACAGTTGAATGAATGGAATTGTAATTATGTAAATTTGTTTTCAAAAACCTGCTGAATCCTGCGTGCTTCATCTTGCTCTGTCCATTTTTCTCTCCCAAGCGCAATATTTCCACGTTGTCCGCCATAAGTCATGAAAATTACGCCAATAATCAAAAAATTTTTCCGTGAAGTGCATTCAACCATGACAAATTATGTTTGGAACATTGCTGAAATATATTTACAACATCGCTACAATAATTTATGCAGAAAAATTAAATTTACACACAATTAAACACTAAAGGACATTAAAGTGTGCACTTAACTTACGCATAACAATGTTTACTTCATTTTATGTAAGTGAAACTGAAATTGTGAAAAATAAATTCACAAGAGCACAGATTCCATCCATTTTCAGATTGCAAAGAAAGAAAATTCAATAACGTGCAGAAAAATAATGAATTGCAAGAAACTGTAAATAAATACGTCATAAATTATAGATTCTAAACACTACAACAAGGCTAACATCTGACTTCTGAGTTATAAGTCTTAGTTATGAATCTATAAATAATAAATTATGTGATCAAAGATCTATACAGACGTATATCAGTGTATTTTGTTTAATATGAAAAAATTGGATAAAAGTAACATAGTAATAAAGTTAAGAGTGGATGGAATCATGGACAGTAAAGCTAGAAATCAAAAATATGCAGAAATTATTTGAATTATGAATAATCATGCGATTTTAAAATCTCAAACTAATCAGTAGCAATGTGACTTCCAATAAAAAGGAAGCACTGGCAAATATGATTCTTGTAATTAGATCTATTCATATCCGTTAACGTAAATATATTGAGTGTGTGTGTGTGTGTGTGTGTGTGTGTGTGTGTGTGTGCATATACACTAGCATCACATGTTTATATGAACTGAAATAACACTGAAAATGACACGAATTTGAATATATTTACTTATACTGTACACTTACATAAATTTAATCACTTACATGTTCTTCTATCTATTCAAATGAATGTGTGTTTACTTCTGTTCTCAGAGAGCAAAAGAGTGAGAGATAATATTTAAATGAGTCAGTAATACAGGAAAATGTGGCTGACGTGAAGTGAGCATAAAAATACAGTCCATTTAAGGGCATTTATGCAAATACAAACAATTAAAACATCGGAGTCAATAAATGACAAGAAACAGTTTGCAGTTCTGATTAGATCAATGATTTATGTTTATGTTAAATTCATAAACAGATACAAATGAGTCAGTTCAAATTGATTCAAACACTGATCGTTCTTTTCATTGTTCACTGATAGAGTTGACACTTTACGTTTAAGAAACTGTCTTACTTCAGTCCATTAAATTGTAGGCAAATATGCAAATTACCCAACTGTGTATCTATCTGTATGCAATGTGCCGTGTATATGTGTGTGTCTGTGTGTCGTGTGCGTGGGTATGCGTGTGTATGTCTGTGTGTGGCTGTGTCTGTCAGCTTTTGCACCGATCAATCAATTAAAAATGTTGGAATGGTACCTTTCAAATTTGATCATTAATCTTGAGAGAATACGAAAATTGCATTGTCTCTAAAATTTTTGAAAATGGAGATTGAGTAACAGTAGTTCAAGAATTAATCCTCTATCGTATTACGATATAACTGTTATAGATCCCTTGATATACAGTCCGTGAAAGCAACAGTTTACTTTGATATATAGATTTTTTAACAAGTGCGTGTGTTACGTGAAAATAGAAATTTATTTCGGAATAAACATCCACTTTACTTTGCATTAAGCCACAATTTCGTGTGCTACCTTAAAATGATAGAGCACAAATCTCTTATGTCAATTGTAGTACTATTATCTGCAGAAATGTTAAAATAATAAGTCCTTTAAATAAATATACATGAAACTAAAAGTGCCTTCTGATCTATATGCTTCTTCGAAAGTGAAAAAACGTAGTTTCTTTCTGCACACTTATCTACTGATTTAAAAGAATTTCACTTGTCACTAAGAGTGATTAAATATTGACGTTAATCATTTGTACCGTAATATATCGATAATGCAGAAATGAGGAAGTAATAATGCTTCTCGACATAATTTATCACACGTAAATGATACGTGAGGTATATTTAATCCCATGGTTAAATAGTGTATGAAATATATTTAATCACATTTAAAGTGATACGCAGGATGTATTTAATCATTTAATCACACTTGAGAGTGATAAAAACATTTCCATATTAAAACACAATCAGTGATTCAATTTTTTACAATAATTTAAAATGTCTTTTCAATGTTTACTTTTGCCTATTTTGGATTGGAAGAGAGATTCAAATCGCAATTGTGCTTAGTCATCGAAAAATAATGACATATTAGCAAAATGAAACTAAAAAGCAGTGCAGAAATAGCAAAGTTCTTTGACATTACAGCAGAAATTAGCATAATTTGCAAAACTTTTAGACATGTCAGAATGAAAAAACGAAAAGAGCGAAACTGCTTGGAATGAAAACAAACAAAAGTGAAAGGAAAGTTAGTGCATGTATTTACTTGCATTGTATGTAAAAACAAGTTCTCTGTGATAACATTTCCAACACTTATCACCCTTTCCCTTTGTGATTAACAAACTTCTAAATTCATTATCAAATTTTGATTTTCACGAAGGGATTATTGGAGTGACTTCGACTGTTTAGTCTTATGCTTTACAATCAATCCAACATAAATATTTTGTGGGCATTAAAAAAAATAGCCAAATTTGCATATTTCATTTCAACTAATGTTTGATCAGAACTGCTCATGATTGCTCTAATTTTTTTACAAAAATTATTTAAACTATTTTTTAGTATTTATCTTCGCTTATTTATATCATTGAAAATCATTATTGCATTTATATTTGAAGCTCGAAATATTTTTAGGCATTAATTAATGTGATATTGACTATTTTTAGGGCTTTTTTTAAAAAAATAAATCCTTTTTCTCAATTTTCTTACTTTTTATCATATCTTTTTTCAAAGGAACAGTTTCAAAAAATACTCACTGCTAGATTCATTCATTGTTCAGCAGTTTTTCATTAATTATTGCAAAGTTGGTTACTATTCAACATCATTTTTAATCATAGTTCTAATTTTTGTATTTTAAGCTTGTTCAATTTTTTACTATAATTTAAATAGGTTATAAATATGAGAATTTTAAAATTTTCTGCTCTTTTGAAACTTAAAATTTTATTTTATGCAAATTTTATGCGAAATTTATTTTGTGCAAATAGCTTTTATGCAAAATAACAATCATTATTGCTTTTTTCTCATATTAAATTATGAGTAAACAGCATTTTATGCAATTTTCTCATGGACTTTTTCATGCAAAATAAAATTCCTCTTTTCTGCATAGTTTGTGTGCTCTGAAATTTTTGTATTAGTGCTGTGCAATTAGCTTTTATATTAAAAATTTCCATTCCCAAAATTATTTTCTGAAATGAAATTAATTCATAAATTATTGAAGAGAATTGTATTTTGCATATTATTGCAAAAAGTTTTTGCTTATTAATCAACTTGAAAGGAAACATATTTATATAAGCTTAAAATGCTGCAAATGCAAAAGAATGTAACTTTGAATAATTTATTTACTTATTCTTTGTTTCTCGATTTTATTTTAAATTTTTTTCAATTTTAGTCAAAACTAACCATTTATTTAAACGCAAAAGAGTCATATTTCTTCCCTTACAACAAAGTATATTTTAGCGAAAATATTTTACACGTAAAAAAATCACGCCATTTTTTAATCACTTCTCTTACACACTTCTGCAGTGTTCTTGAAAAACTTGCACCTCATAAGAATTTTGTATCCGAGAAGGACTCAATAAACTTCTATTCTTCAATTGTTCAATTCACAAATTTGAGCAGAAATGTTTTTGGAATGAAATTTGTTTTATTGAAAGTTTGTTCAGTCCGCAAGGAAACAAATATTACTTATTTTATATGACGTAAATTTCCTTCTGAAAAATCATAATTTTGGCTGTCAATTACACGTTTTTACATTCAGTAAAAGTTTGCACTTCGTATGCTTTACTCCTCTTTGGTTGAATTATTACTAGTATTATTTTTTCCAGTTTATGAATATCTTGGATGAAACTATGAATATTTCGGCAAATTAGATATTTACGTGAGACTAAGTGAAATAAATATCTGAAATTGTCAGATTATTACTTTAATGAAGAAGTAACTGTCTAACTTCATGAGAAAATATTGGAAATGATGGAGCTTAAATTCGTTTTTTGTATTTTGGTAAAAAATATTGTTGAATTAAAGTCCACTTTCATGAAGAATAAATTTGTGGCCTCCATTGAGATGCTGTGAAA